CCTTAGGTTGGACCAATTTGGAAAAGAATTACTCCCAAAAATACACTTCGTAGGAAATTCAATTCTATGTTATTGTTGTTTTCTTATTAGAATATTTTGAAATTATAGACAAATTTATCATCATGGATCAAGGACAAAACATGGATATAGTTTTGGCTCTTCCAGCAAACCCTAATCCGCCCAAGAAAAGGTATGCGTTATATATATATATATATATATATATATATATATATATATATATATATATATATATATATATATATATATATATATATATATATATATATATATATATATATATATATATATATAACACCAAATTTCTTGGTTGTCTTAATATTTTTATTGTTTCAAGCTTTGCAATAATTTGTAGTGTTAAGATATATATATAATTTCTTATTTGAATTTTTTTTTAATGTTATAGGAAAATTAATCCTAAAACACCTGCACTGGATCAAGGACAAAACAAAGAAATTGTTTTGGCACTTCCAGCAAAATCCATAGCTAATTCATTCACCACAAGGTATGCAAAATGATACTCCTTATATATTAAAACAAAGTTTTTTTTTTTTTTTTTTTTTTTTTGTATTAGAATTATTAATAGGAAGGACAATGACTAAAATTGAGTGGAAAAAATGGCGGTGTAAAAATTTTTAGGGCACTGTTAGTTATTAGTAGTAGAATGGTAATATATATATATATATATATATATATATATATATATATATATATATATATATATATATATATATATATATATATATATATATATATATAGGGAAGGGTTCAGGTGCGGGTATAGCTTCCCGTGCGGTTGTGCGGTTAGATCTGAGCCGTTGATCAAATTTAGATCAACGGCTCAAATCAATGAAAATTTAAAAAAAAAAACGCTTGTCTGGAAGAAGATAGCGCCTACACAGCGTCTACACAAATGATAGCGTCTACACAAATGTTAGCGTCTACACAAATGAGTAGCGTCTACACAAATGATAGCGTCTGCACAACCTCACGCACATTAAGTACAAATCCCACACACATTAACCACAGCCTCACGCACATTAAGCACAAACCCCACGCACTTTAAATATTAACTCACAGATTTTAAGTTTCAACAACTATTGACCCTCACACACATTGAGTACAAACCCCACACACATTAAGCACAATCTCACGCACATTAAGCACAAACCCCACGCAGTTTAATATATTAACTCACAGATTTTAAGTTTCAACATTATGCACAACCTCACGCACATTAAGTATAAACCCCACACACATTAAGCACAACCTCACGCACATTAAGCACAAATGCCACGCACATTAATCACAGATCCGCTCACCTTAATTTTGACCTACATGCAAAAATTACAAAATTGCCACCGCGTTTTTTTTTAAAATTTTGACAATTCTGAACGTTGATTTAAGCGAGATGAATGGTCCAGATTAAACCGCACAACCGCACCAGAACCTAATTCTATATATATATATATATATATATATATATATATATATATATATATATATATATATATATATATATATATATATATATAATCAAATGGGTGGGAAAACCCTCAAATGTGACATCATTAATGTAATTCTTAATTATGATTATGGTCATTATTATTTTTAAATGTAGCTTTTATATATGCGTGCAGGGGGTATGTTGCTAAAATGAAGGAGAAAACCCCAGAATTGAGTTCCCCATTTGCTCCAGAACCAACCAATGAGGCAAATCCTATTGATGAGCAGCAAACTACTCCAATAGAGAAACCTTCAGCCGCTATGTGAAACTGAGAACTCTCTGCCAATCTTCACTATCTCTGAAGAAATTGTTGTAGGAGGAAAAATATGCTTTAATTTGTGGTGCAACTTATACTTGACAATGCAATTGTTGGAAGAATTGACTTAATTTGACATTTAAAGCAGTCATTTTGCTTTATAATTCTAATTTTTATGTGGGTCGGATATCAAAGTGAATTCATGTTTCTCTAAGTGAGAGGTTTAATTTGATATATTACGCTCTTAAATATATAATGATGAATTAGAAGTTGTTTCTTAACGTTTACTCATTTGAGTTTGGAAAAAGGAAGTCGGAAGGCTTTTTAGTAACTTTTGTCTAACATTAGATTAGAAAGGGATGCGGTTTTCACTAGTATATATACAATTCTACTTTGTGAAGAGTTTCAATTGTATATAACATAAGGACTCTATCTTGCGTGTAAGAGATGCAAAACGAGCCCAAAAGTTTGGACTCGTGTGCATGAGCTACCCAAACGCATTGAACGCTCGTCTGAAAATTGACATTTCAGACAAGCTAAAGTTTTGCCAAATTTCAAATTATTTTCCCAAGTGTTGAGAACATGTACTGCTTAGAGAAGCAGCACGGGTTTGCCATTACAACCTGTACAGCTTTGAGGGGTGGGGAGATACTCGAAACAAATTAAACTCTCAAAAACTTAAACAATCCTCCTATGTAGACCCATTCTAGCTTTATCAATCTAAATTAAGTTGATCACTAATAACTTCTATCGTTGAATCATGGAACTCGATTCAATCACAATTCCTGCGATGGACCAATTTAGCCCGCCAATCAACTACGCGATTGTATTCACGGGGAGAACATTTTATGGTCACCTCCCAATCTTTGAGCATCCTGCATGCTTGAGCAATCGTCCCACAGGGTCCATGCCAAAACATTATTGATATCTTTAATTAATATCTTTAACCAATTACTAAGATGCCAAAAATGTTAATGAATTACTTAATTAAATCTTTATTAACCGTTCAATGAATCTAAGTACAATTACTGAATTAACATTATATATATTTTTTAAGAATTTGAAATTCTAATATTTGTCATGTATGCATTTCATACTCAATATAGAAATATCTCATACTCTTAAATTAAATTTGCAATACATTTATTATGCATCGGCAAAATAAGAAAAAAAAAATATTAATCAATCTATTAAATGAATACTATATATGATAAATCTTTGTATTTGGTCAAAATTGAAAAATAATTCTGGAATTTCAATAAATATATGTTATTGTACTAAATATTCTTTTAATTTTTATGAACGTTGTGTATTTACCTCATATTTTCAGCTTTCTATTTTATATATATATATATATATATATATATATATATATATATATATATATATATATATATTATAAAAAGAAAATTGATTTGAATTGCAAGAGTTAGTTTGAATATCCAGAAGAAATATGTAGAGAATTGAAGATATTATGTATCAGAGTCAAACTCTAGATCTTCTACAGAAGATATGAAAATCTGATAGAATTAGAACTTGGAAAAATTGCATGTTTCAGAAGATGTACAAAAGTTAGTAGAAATGAATCAAATGATGTTCCAATGTTAGAAGATAGAGGTTCACTCCTAGAAGAGGTTTCAAGAGTCATTTGAGTAAAGTTCTCAAAAGAAATAAAAATAATATAAAGTTATATCTCTGGGAAAGATATTGCAATTCGAGATGTATGATGACGTCAGCCCTCGAGACAGACCCAGAGTTGGTATGTAGCTTGCAAAGCCCATTTCTTTATGGGCCAAAAATTATTTGTTATAACTTGCTTCACGACAGGATGATTTAGGACCAGCCCACGAGATTAAACCCTAACACCCCTAGTTTTACTCCTTTCACCTCTGCTCCTCGCTCCCCTCTATATATAAGAGTTTCAACCCTCTGCCAGACACTCAGGCCTCCTCTTTTTACTACTTCTGCTTTTGCTTAGGTCTTCTCGTCCATCTCCTTTCGATTTTAATCCGTCAAGGTAAATTACTATGTTTGTCACCGATTCTTATTTGTTTCATTTTCTTGAATTTTGAGTTCAAGTTAATTAAGTTTTTAAGAAAGAGAATTACTTTTCAAATTAGATTCATTTTTGGGTTGTGTACTTGATGTGATAACTACTCTTTTTTTTTTTCTTTTTTTTGGTGCTAATGAGTAATGTATGATTTTCATTTTCGATTCTGACAATAGGCTGACTTAGTCATGCTAGATGGACCTTTGATGAATGTTGAGACCAATTATTGATTCGAATTGTTTTATGAAAAATGGCATTGTTTAATTCCTTCGTTTTAAATTGACTAAATTTTAATGGTATGGTGAATTGTTTGTGTTTTGAATTGTTTTAAATTCGTATATATAAAGTTAGATATGTGTTTGATGGAACATCAAAATTAAATATTTATACTCTTATACAGACGCATATTATAAGTCTTGGTTAGATCATATCGGAGCAATTTATTTGTTTGTAAGAAACAATATATATTGATGTTGAAAAGTAAAACTTTTTTAGATAGATTTTGATCTTTTATTAGTCCATAATTAATACTGATTAGGATTGTATATTTTATGATTAACCTTTACAGGGATGCAAACGTGAGAATAAATACACAGATAGAGATCTTTTTTGATCGTTTTCGTGCCCTGTTGAACAAAAACAACATATAGAGACGCAAACGTGAGAATAAAACAACATATATATTCTTACTTTTTTTTTCTATCTCTTCTTCCGTAAAGATGGAAGATAATATATAATATAATATATATATATATATATATATATATATATATATATATATATATATATATATGAGTTGAAGGCTTGAAGCTTTAATTTATTGTTGATTGTTGAAGGCACTCAAGGCAGTCCGCAGTAGGGCAGTAGGCAGTAGCATTCACTAGCCTATAACCTGTTAGGACTTAGGAAGTTAAGACTTAAAAGTGTAGAATGTTATTGTGTTATTTTAGCTCATTTAATAATTTATTTTGATTAAATGAATAAATGATAATAACTAATAAGAATATAAGATTAAGATTTAAGAGTTAATAAACTTATAAAAGTTTTTAATTTTGAAAATTACAATTTACATTTTTACCCTTAATTAGTTGAGTATTTTATTCTTGAATCTTGATTCTTGAATCTTGAATACTTTGTAATTTTGTAGGTGAATATTATCATTTATAATAATGTCTAATCCAAGAAATCAAGATCCAGGATGGGAGCATGGCACACCGGTTCTGGATAAAGGCACTACACATGTGCGTTGCAAGTATTGTGAAAAAGTAACAAAGGGTGGTATTTATAGGCATAAATTGCATCTCGTGGGAGGAAATAAAAATGTTCAAGCATGTACAAAATGTCCTCAAGTTGTTAGGGATGCAATGAGAGAGTTTATGCTCAATAAGAAGCAAAGAAAGAAGGAGGTAAGTTCAACGGCGACAATGAGTGTTCCTTCAAACTTTGATGACGAAGGTGATGATGGTATGGATTTTCCAGAGGTGGCGGGAAATCCGGTGATGGGATCTAGTTTGGGATCTTCTACCAAATCAATTAAAGGTCCTATGGATTTGTATTTTAATAAAAAGGAACACCAAAGTTTGAAAAGGGCAAAAGGCAGTGAGCAAGTAACATTGGAGGCATGTAAGGAGTTGAGGGAGAGGGCTATGGTCCAATTTTCACGGTGGATGTATGAGGCCGGACTGCCATTTAATTGTGTTCAATACACTAAAAGCTTACAAGGCTTTATTGAGTGTGTTGCACAACATGGACCGGGAATGAAGCCACCTTCCTATCATGAAGTTAGAGTGACATATCTTAAGAAGGAGGTTGAGCATGTTAAGGAATTGTTCAAGCCACATCAGGAGACATGCGATGTATATGGTTGTTCTTTGATGATGGACAAGTGGACAGATAGGAGAGGTCATGCATTTATAAATATCCTAGTTAATTGTTCACTTGGATCGTATTTCCTCCAGTCGGTAGATGTTAGCAAGGACACTGTGGATGCTAAGAAAATGCTTGAGCTCTTTGAAACTTTTGTCAATCAAGTGGGGAAGGATAAAGTTGTGCAAGTCATATCTGACAATTCTTCAGAGAACGTGAGAGCTGGTATGTTTAAAATATTTGGTTTTTTATATAAGAATTTAAGATTTGTAAATTTTACATTTTTTAACCTATTAATTCTTTACATAATTTAGGCAAGGATTTAATGAAGTTGTACCCGACATTGTACTGGACGCCCTGCGCTGCCCATTGCATCAATTTGATGTTTAAAGACATCTTTGAGATTCGTCACTTTTCAATGGCGTACAAGCGGGCTTTGAAATTGTCGGTGTATATCCATTCAAAGACAGAGCTTTTGAATTGGTTGAGGAAGTATACTGGGAAGCGTGACTTGGTCAAGTTTGCTAAGACTCGGTTTGCTACAGCATTCTTGACATTCAAGAGGCTTCACAAGCAGAAAAATAATTTGAGAAAATTGTTCAACTCAGAAGAATTCCTCACTAGCTCTTACTTCAAAGAAGTGGCAGGAAAAGAGTGTTCTAGAATTGTGCAAATGCCAAGCTTTTGGAATACAATTCTAGAAGCACTTAAAATAGGTGGTCCATTGATTAGCACTCTTCGATTAGTTGATGGGGATGTTAAGCCATCAATGGGCTATATTTATCCTGCGATGGAGATCACAAAGAAAGCAATTCAAAAATCTTTCGACAACAACACAAGCAAGTACAAGAAGGTATTTGAGATCATAGACAAAAGGTGGACTTCCCAGCTTCGTCAACCATTGCATGCAGCTGCGTATTACTTAAATCCAGATTACTTCCGGTATAGGGGTGAGCCACATGTTTCTCCTACAATTAATTCGCCAGAAGTTGTTGCTGGATTTTATTCTTGTTTGGAGAGGTTGGTTCCAGATCAAGATCTGCAGGACAAAATTACTAAGGAAGTATCTATGTGGGAAGTTGGGGATGGTTTATTCGGCTTGACAGTTGCCAAGAAGCACCGCGGTTCTAGAACTCCAGGTTCTTACTTCTTAGACGATTTAACTTACAATTTTTATTTATAATCAAATTTTTAATAATTTTCAAATTTTACAGTTAATTGGTGGACTTCTTTTGGGGGTTCAACTCCTCATTTGAAAGAATTCGCAATTAAGCTTCTTAGTCTCACGACTAGTGCATCCGGATGTGAAAGGAATTGGAGTGTCTTTGAGCATGTATGTTAGTCAATTTAGAACTAATTAGAAATTATAACATATTCATGCACTAATTCATTTTAAATATTCCAGTTGCATTCGAAAAAGAGGAGTCGCCTTGAACACATGGGCCTTAATGATTTGGTTTTCATCAAGTATAATAGGGCATTGAGGCGACGATGGGAAATGCAGGATACCATTGATCCAATTAGTTTGGATCAAATTGATTTTGCCAATGAATGGTTGACAGGTATCCCGGAGGATGCAAATGAGTTGGTGTTTGGTGATGGGGATGACTTGACTTGTGGTGACATTGTTAAATTTTCGGGTGCAAATGAAACTCCTTATTCTCTTAGGCATGGTTCAAAAGGAAAAGAGAAGGTTGGGTGTTCAAATTCAAGGTCTAAGGGTAAGGGAAAGGAAAAGGTTTCCCAAGATAGACTAGTGAATGAAGATGAAGATGATGAAGATGAGGAAGAAGCTTGTGAGGATGATGGAGTTATGCAATTTGACAATACGGATTTGTTTGATGAAGAAGAAGAGTTTGATATGGAGTAATGGAGGATTGAATGGGTGAATGATTGTGTTGTGACTTATGACATTATGATGTGTTGTTAATTGTTATGACTTATGATGTTGTGACTTTATGATGTTTGTATTAGTATGATGTTGTGACGTTAGGAGTTATTTCTTATGTTATTTTGCATAATTATTAGAATATTTGGAGTTTTTGACTATATATATATATATATATATATATATATATATATATATATATATATATATATATATATATATATATATATATATATATATATATATATATATATATATATATATATTTAAAGCGTCGCTATGAAAAGCGACGCTTCGCTTTAAAGCAAAGCCTGGCCTAGTCGCTTTAATGCGCTTTTCCGCTTTAAAAAGTTTGCTTACCCCGTAGAAGAACTTCCTTGGTGACTAAATCCTTCACAACAAAAAAGAGCGGGTGAAATTTGAAGAACACATTATTTTCAAAGGCAAACTTCTGAACATAAAGTAGAGAAGCAGATAACTGAGGAAAATGAAGCACACGAGACATAGAGAAAGTCCTAGGGGGGTAGAAAACGAAGTACGACCAACACTAGAAATAGACAAGGCCTTACCATTACCGACACGTAAAGTGTCATTACCCACATAATCCTCAGACGTATTGAGAGCGTGAATGTCCTGCGTGGCATGATCCGTGGCACCTGTGTCCGGGAACCAACTCTGAGATGTTAAAGCAGCACCCGAACTCGAATCATCATGATAGACAAATGTTAGAAAAATAATGTGGCTCAAATCTATCCACCACCATGCAGCAGCTCCCACGTAGACCAACGTCCGCGTCGCATGCAATATATTCCTCATTTCCTACACGTTCTCCGTTTTTTTTGCTAGCTCATCTTTGGCATGCCACTTTTATCTCTTCTTCTTGAATGTATAAATAGTAACATTTGCTTTGTAATTCAATGCATCAAACAATTGAATTCATTCTTTCACTTTTTCTTTGTCTTCACGTATATATATATATATATATATATATATATATATATATATATATATATATATATATATATATATATATATATATATTATATTGTTTCTTCTCAATTCATTTTTGAGTTATATAATATATATATATATATATATATATATATATATATATATATATATATATATATATATATATATATTATTTTCCCTTTTATTATATTCCTAACAAGATTGGCCTGGGGACCATCGGAATAGCGACGGTAGCAAGTTAAAGCCGTGTGACCAATCAAATCACATATCTAACATTTAGGACCACTCCTCTCTTGATTGCCACCACGCCCTTTATTAGCATTAGAGCTACCGCCACGCTAGTTTCCAAAGCTGCTGCCCCGCGACAAACCAAAACCAGACCCACCGCCGCGCTGATATCCAAAACCACCGCCACGCCACTGCTGACCAGATCCACGCCTCCTAGAACCAGAACGGCTACCACAACGGCGGGCCATATGCGCGACCGGTTCGAGAGCACCTCCAGACGCCAGGGAAAAGTCATTGACCATCAGAAAATCCTGAGCTCCAAGAAAGCCAGCTAGCTCCTCAAGCGTCGGCGGCGTAGCACGGTTCGACAGAGAGGTAGTGAGAGACCTGTACTCCGGACAAAGACCACGCAACGCAAACATACTTTGCTCTTCGATGGACACTGGCTGGCCGGCGAGCCCCAGGTCTTCAACAATCATTCTCGCCCTTGCTAAGTAGTCCGCCACTGAAGCCTCACCTTGCCGGAGCGTTTGAAGTTGGCCTAGCAGATGCAACTGCCGAGCACGCGAAGAAGAGGCCACTGCCGTCTCAATGGCAACCCAGATCTCCATGGATGTTCGCCGGCCAACTGCCAAGTGCAGCACCTCCTTCGAGAGGGAGGATATGAGCATGGAGAGAAGCTGTTGGTCCTGCTAAATCCAAAGAAGATAAGCAGGATTAGGATCCACCTGGGCAGCGCCGGACGTAGCTTCACCGGCAGGCAACGTACGGTATCGTCGACGACGGGCACGGAGTCGTACCGTCAACGTAACCCAACAGATTCTGACCACGAAGAAACGGAAGTAGTTGAGTCCTCCAGAACAAAAAATTGTGATTGGTAAGTTTAAGACTCACAAAGTAATGAGCCGTTGAAAGAGAGGCGGGTAAGGATGGGACAAAAACATTACAAGCAGTCTACTCGGAGTCACCGGCAGAGCTGTCGTTAGCCATGGAAGAAACCTAGCAACTGGTACCAGATTAGGATTGTATATTTTATGATTAACCTTTACAGAGATGCAGACGTGAGAAAAAATGCACAGATAGAGATATACAAAGACTAGAGGTATAGGGCAACAAGAGTCCTAACAATACTTAAAAACTCTTGTAAGATTCACTTCTCATTTTTGAAAGATTTGACATGTTATTTTAGTAAAGTTTTAAATCACATTTTAAACCTAGCGATTATTGATAGTTTTCAATCTATGCTTTGGTTTTTGTTCATTTAACTACTAATTCATGATTTGATAATAAATGTTTATAGTCCATCCAATTTTGATTGTGGTGTAATTGTGATTAACATGTCTTTTCATTCAAACCGAAATTGAATTTTGTATTGGAAATAATTTATATAGACTATTACAATTTTCCTCACAAGTAAAATTTTAACTCCTAATATTACATTTTTCATTAAAATTAAAGTATCACTTTCTTCCTCATAAGTATTACATTTTATCTCATATGTAACAATATGATGGTTTTCTTGGGACCCGGTCCACCATAAATTGAGTATATAGGTACCGAATAGAGGGTAGGAGAATAATAGTATTACTGCTCAGGGCGCTAAGTTCAAAATAGTACGTGCAAAGCTCGAGATATTGGCCCAAAACAGCGGTTCAAAGTATATATAAATAATAAATACTATATTCCTAATAATGAAATACAAATAATAATGTTATCGCTAAGAATTGAACCCTAGTGCGCCGAAGAAAAATATAATCAGACCAAAAATATAAATAAATGGTTGTGATTTAATTTGGGATTCTCTACCATTTAATATGTTAAGAATTAGTAGGGGTGATTTAGTACTTTGATAAGACTTGTTATTGATGGTAATATTGCCTGAAAATATTTTCCTAATAACAAATAGTGATAAATAAGGCAGAATAAAAGGGAACAACGATGATTGCACACAGAATTGCGACTGGCGACGTCAAAGTTTAGAGAACACAGGTACGCAATGTTTATGTGGCGTTTTTTTTTTCTTTTATGTTTGCCGGTATGTTGTTACACGATGCACAAGCCTGTATGGTTGACTGCACAAATGAATTTGGGTGTATGCTTGTGAATTAATCATTTCTACGCAATGATATTTCGCACAGACCAATATGACTAAGTTGCACATATATAACATGGCCACATACCATATGAGTAAGAACATTTCACATGCACATAGCTTTCATAAAAGTTGCATATATCCATATAAGTAAGGATGTTGGTATTTAAAGTACTTAAAAGTACGGGTGATGCACGCGGTAATAGCCTTAGATGCATAGGGATAACACGTCCAGAGCATGTGTTATAATGATAATGAACAATGCACAAAATATGAAGAAATGTTGCACAGTTCATATAATTTCAACATGCACATAGCGTTCTAAATAGTTGCACATATACAAATAATTAAAGTATGTTGGAATTTAGAGTACGTGTGATGCACACGGTACTAGCCCACGTCAGAGGGCTAAAGTAGGTGAGATTAGTCTTGACCAAATCCTTCATCTTCGCGTGCATGACGTTCCATTGTGGATGACCGGTTGGCTTCTAGAGAATTTTGTCCTTAAAAAATGATTTTGAGGGTTGAGAACGGAGTTGTTATTCCAGTGCAACTTGGGCTAGTACCATGTGCATCACATACTAGCACACAAGTTACACAGGAATAAAAACACGTACTTTAATCTTGACCAGAATTTAAAGTACGTGTGACGCACATGAAGATGAAGGATCCAGTCAAGATCAATCTTACCAACTGCAGTCCTCTAACGTGCATTGAATTGCTGCATCGGCTCGACCAACAGCTTACACTGTGCCCCGAGACTTCATAGTAGGGTAACATGTATTCTCCTTCTCGATCAATAATAATCTAGTGCTTGCTAATTTGGATCCGCCAATATGCGTCATAGACAAGCTAACGGAAGCCATACAAAATCATCGTAGTCCAAAGAAGTGTTTACGATGTTTGTGTAAGAAATAAGACACGAGAACATCGTACTTCTTCATATTGCAGTGATTTTGTATCACCTTAGTTGGCTTCTCTACAATGCATGCAGGTGAAACCAGAGTGGCAAGCATCAGATTATTATTTGACCGAAGAGGAGAATACGTGTTACCCTACTATGAAGACTCGGGCGCAATGTAAGTTGTTGGTTGAACCAATGCAACGGTTCAATGCATGTCAAAGAGCTGAAGTTGGTGAGATTGGTCCTGACCAGATCCTTCATCCTCGTGTGCATGACGTTTTGTTGCACATGGCCCGTTGGCATCCCTATGCAACTTGGGTTAGTACCTTGTGCGTCACACGTACTTTAAATTCCAACATGCTTACGTATGATGCACACGGTACCAGCCCAAGTTGCACAGGGATAACAACTCCGTTCTCAACCCTCAAAGTCATGTTTTTTGGGTCAAAGTTCTCTAGAAGACAACGGGCCATAAAAAGGGAACATCACGCACTTTAAGATGAAGGATCTGGTCATAACCAATCTCACCAAATGCAGCCCTCTGATGTGCATTGAATTTCTGCATCGACTCGACCATCAGTATACACTGTGCCCGAGTCTTCATAGTAGGGTAATATGTATTATTCTTCTCAGTCAAATAATAATCTAGTGCTTGCCAATCCAGTTCCGCCTACATGCGTCGTAGAGAAGCTAACGAAGGCGATACAAAGTCATCGTCGTCAGAAGAAGTGCTTATGATGTATGTGCTGGAAATAAGACACATGCACCTATACTTCTTCAGATTACAGTGATTTTATA